ACTTTGGACAGTCCCTGTGCTCATGCCGTGTCCAGCAAACAGTGCAGCGCTTCATCGAAAGCTGCAATCTCTGTGAATGCCCAGACAGGGCAGATGCACATTGAGTGACAATACCTGACAGTGGCTACGTCTACATGAGATGTTTACTGTTGACTAAGTAGCTCTGCAGTAAAGCATCAACTTCCACACATATGGCCTTACTAGGCCGCAGTAAAATAATGAACGCCACCCTAGGACAGCACTGCCCCAACATAAGTACTATCCTATGGTGGTGTTATTTAGTGTGCTGCAATGCATGTGTAGATGGTAATGGGGCCGTCTGGGGCACATGGGTGCTTTCTGGCAGGGGCTGCCTGCTGGCTAGCCCTGCACTGGAGCACTCTCGTGCCCCAGCCAGCCCCTCTGCGCTACGTTGAGCTGGGTCGGAGCAGCCCTGGGCTGGCAGGCTGAACCCTGGGCCCCCTGCCAGCCAGGGCTGCTCCTCCCTGGCTCAACATGCTGCAGCCCAGGGCGCACGTGGAAATGTGGTGCCTGGGAGCAAATAAACTCCGATGCAAACTGCACGGAGTTTATTGTGTCACACTTATAGCAGGTGTTTACACTTCCAGTGACTCATGGATTTGGAAGTTGGTACCTGATGGCAATAGAAAAGAAAAAGAGTGAGCGCCTTCACCACATCTGGGGGCCATGAGCTCCATTCTGGGGGGAAAGGAACTTCTTTGTGTTGGTTTTTAACTAACTATTAGTCTCATGTTGGGACTCACGTGGGAGAGTCTCGAATGAGCCCCTACTGACTCTCTCCTGGCTGTTCAGTCCCTTGCAAACCTCCTCCTGCCCCCCTCAAGCCTCCCTGATGATGCCCCTCACCACCTGCACCCACCTCTTCGGCACCTGTGGGGCAGGGGAAATGGGGTGTGTGCAAGCGAAGGTCTCTCCCCTCAGTCCAGTGCTCTCCTGCCTCTTGCAGCCACTTCTAGGAGGTAGGGAAAGGGTCCCACGTTGCCTCCAGGATGAGCATGGGCCAATGTGGCATCCAACAAACAGCAGAATCTGCAGATCCTGCTGCCACGTGTCTGTCTTTGAGGGCAAGCCTGCCGACTGCTGGACAAGGACCTTTGGGTAAATGTGATATCTTGCAGGTAAATGTGATATTAGACAAGGCTGTTTGGGGTAAATGTGTTATCAGACCAACTACATTATTGGAAAAATGGTTCTTTGCAAGCTTTTGGGGCGCAAATGCCCTTCTTCAGACATAGGGAGACTTTGCTGGGGTTTTGTGTTCTGCTGGGTCGAATAGAAGCCAACAGGCCGACAAGGATCTATGAGTAAATGTGACATCGTTTATTAGACCAAGTACATTGTTGGAAAAATAGTTTTTTGCAAGCTTTTCGGGCACAAACACCCTTCTTCAGGCACAGGGAGAATCTGCTGGTGCTTTGAAGCCAAGATACATTATACACTTAGGAGTAAACTTAGTCAATGTGCTTTGAAACCAAGATGCATTGCACACATAGGAGTCACGATGCTTAGAAGCCAAGATGCATTTATACACTTAGGAGTAAACTTGGTTTCAAAGCATCTTGACTCCTCCAAGATGCATTATACACTTAGGAATAAATTTAGAGGAGTCAATGTGCTTTGAAAGCAAGATGCATTTATACACTTAGGAGTAAATTTAGGAGGAGTCAAGATGCATTGTACACTTAGGAGTCGAGATACTTAGAAACCAAGATACGTGATACGCTTAGGAGTAAACGTGGTTTCAAAGCATCTCGACTCCTCTCAATTTACTCCTAAGTGTATCATGCATCTTGACCTTGACTCCTCCAAGATCCACGACACACTTAGGAGTAAACTGAGGAGTCAAGATGCTCTGAAACCAAGTTTCCCCCTAAGTGTATCACGCATCCTGGTGTCTAAGTATCCGCACTCCTCCAAGATGCACTCAGGAGTCCTGCTATAAACGTGGGAACGAGCCACTTAAAGCTCTTCCTCCGCTTCTTTGTTGCACTACAGAAAGCTTACCCTGATCACGCCCGCGTGTTGCACGCGCAGCCCTGGCCAGGTGAGGCGACACCCCCCCACTTCCGGGGCCGCCGGGCGATCCCGCCCCTTGCTTACGTTCGCGGCGCTGATTGGCTGCGCAGGCCCAGCTGACTGTGCGGAAGCTCCGGGTTGGGCAGCGCCGGCCCGGGCTCATGGCGGGCAGCGGTGGCGGTTTCTGGGTGTCGTTGGCGGTGAGTGGGGAGTGTCTCACCTGCGTGGCGCAGCGTGGGGGGAGGCCCTCTGTAGAGGGTTCCTCTGCACGGTGCCGGGCCAGGAGAGGCCTGGCGGGTCTCCAGAGGGTGCCTCTGGGTGGCTGGAGATCCTCTTGAGAAGGTGCCCCACTAGAAGAGGCCCGGCGGGTCTCCAGAGGGTACCCCAGGGTGGTTAGAGACCTTTCGGAGGGCTTTGGAGCAGGAAAAAACGTCTCTGTTCTTCAGCAGGCAAAAAAAGAAGAGGCAAAATGAGCTGGTGTCAACCAAGGGGTGTCACGAGTGCATGTAGGGGTCAGCTTGGGAACTGCTGGACCAACCCGAGTGTGTGTGGCACTAGCTTCAGCTCATAAAAACTCGTGCAGTGTATAGATAGGAGTGTGTGTGTGTGTGTGTGTGTATATTCAGCTTCAGCTCATGAAAACTCATGCTCTTTATAGAGGGGGGTGTGTGTGTATGTATATATGTGTGTGTGATGCAAGCTTCAGCTCGCAGAAGCTTGTGTGATGGGTTTGCCTGCGTGAAGCATGAACTTCAGCTCGTGAAAGCTTGTGCTACGTATAAATAAGGGGGTGTGCGTAGTTCAAGCGTCGGCTCATGAAAGCCTGCGCGACGTATAGGTAGGTTTGTGCGCATAATGTATATTTGCTCTCTATCACATTATGGTAAGTGCATGTGTATACACATACATACACCCCCACACTCACTCACCTTAATGCAACAGAAAGCTAATGCTTGTTAGTATAAAAAAGATCTTCTTTCCTTCCTTCCTTCCATACTCCATTGTGATGGATTTTGTTAATGATGAGACTGGCCCTACCACAAAATACAGCCAGTCAGGTTCGTGGACAGACGAGTGCCCACCAGCCCTCCTGATTAGTAGGATTTAAAATTTTTTTTCAGCTGCTCCATTTTTTGCCACCTACAAACATGTGAAATATGCACTCCATAGTGAGTGTGTGCGTGTGCACCCCCCCAAACCCATGTACTTTGCCTACTAGTCTATAAAGTGCAAAGCTAACCTGCCTTTTGCTTGATTTCAGACTAACATGCTAACTATATCTTCAGCTGAGAATCAGTGTAGAAAACTTCCTCTAAGTGACATCTGTAAAGCGTAGTCGTGACTATGCGAGAGAAGGGCTTGTATGCATTCAAAGTGCACGGCAGTTTCTCCTGGGAGTTAATTTTGCATCCTAATAACTTTAATAAACAGCACGCTTCAGAGAAATCTTGCCAATGGACACACCTTTTCCTTGATTTCCTATGCGGCCTTCTCCCTGGACTCTCTTCACCCTACTTTAACACCTTTGCAGCAGCAGGTTGTTTGCCACGGTGGTCCCCCTGCTTTACCTGTGGCAGGTTAGGGGGTTATGTCTTATGTTGCATCTGGAATATGTGAGAGAGGACGTTGTTGTCATCATCTCCTGGTAGGAATACTTAAAAGCACAAGATGACATTGCTGACCCAAGGTGAGAGGAGGAGTGTCTGACATGGTCCAGATTTGAACCCAGATGGGTTAAGTCCCTTAACTGCAAAAGCATTTTTCCTCAGCTTTTTTATTATTAAGGTATTTCTGCTTGATATATTGTTGGACTTTCTGTTTTGTGCAAATAGGTAGGATTCTGCCTCTGACGGGGTTGGAGTAGGTGACCTCTGGGGGTCCCTTCCAGGTCTGCTGGTGTAGCTCTGCTAGGAGGCTAGATGATGGTTTGGATAGGGATGATCCTATCCCAAGCAGGGGTTGGACTAAATGACTTCTCGAGGTCCTTCCGGCTTTCTGTGATCTTTCTGTGCTACTTGCACAGCTGCCTTGTTCGCAAGTGAAAATCTGAGCTACTTGAGCAACACCCTGGTCTGGGTTAGAGGGAAGGGTTTTGTCAGCGTTGAACTGGAAGAGCAGCACTCGAATGCAGCCTTGTGGGAAGAAGGGTTGTCCGGCTGATGGAGAGTAATAAAGGCCTTACTTTGCTTTTCCCCTACAGTTGAGTATTTCATTAGTCTGCCTTCAGTATTTTTTAACTGCAGCGGCACGCTCTGCAAAACCTTAACTTCATCCCTGCAGCCAGGAGTCTTCCAGTGCTTGCTCATGTAGGACTCATGGGTCAGTAAATCTGCCTCTGAGGGTGCCCCGGCCCTGACTCCTCTGACCTGTTGGTTCGGTCTTCAGTCTGCCTCTGAGTGCAGTGGCTTCTGAGAAAACTCGTGGGATGTTAATGACCTGTCTGATGTCTGTAGGGCCAGATTTTCAAGTGCGCGATTCTCAAAAGAGCTCAACACACAAACTAAGTTGAACAGATTGAAAATATGATGGTTACTTCAATGCCTGGGCTCCTGCTTCAGAGTCACTCTGGAGCCCTGAAACATCATTTCTTAGCATCGGTCTTGCTGCTCTCCTCCAGCTCCTACAGGCATCTTTCCCTCTACTTCCCCAGGGACTCGGGGTAGGTTGCAAGCCATTACCGCGGAGTGTGGGTTCTGCTGTGGGTTAGAGTGGAGATGCAGTGGATGATGATAGGGCTGTAGCTGGATGCTTTCAGAGGAGAGTGCTATGTGGTAGAGAGGCTTGCAGGCTTGCATGCATCAGAGAAGTTGTGGGTCTGCGACATGACTGGTTATGGCTACGGCTTGCAAGGAAGAAGCGTCTTTTCTTTCTGTTCCATCTTGAACTCTGGCTGTGCACATGCTCTGGCTTGTCAGAGCCCCTTTGTGGCTGCATGTGCATCTTTCAGAAAAGTTCAGTGGCTGAGTAAGGCCAATATCTGTTGGCCCACACCCTGCCCACGTTCTCCCCCACCCCCTCAATTTTTTTTCTTCTGTTTACCCGTGCAAAACTACAAATGAGCAGTTATGAATATGAATGCTACTCCCTTCTGCATGTATGTAACATTGGTATAAATACTCTCCCTGCTTTTAATTCTTGTGTTTTAAAACTGGGTTTTTGGTTGTAGCCGTGTTGGTCTAAGGACATAGGCAGGCCAGGCTGTTTGGGTGGATGTGATCTCTATTAGACCAACTGACTAGTTGGACAACAGTTCTTTGCAAGCTTTTGGGCCTGAAGAAGGGTGATTGTGCTTGAAAGCTTGTAAAAACTGTTTTCCAACTACTCAGTTGGTTTAATAAAAGATGTCGCATCTACCCAAAGAATCTGGTCTGTCTGTGTTTAAAACATGTACAGAGCTGGGTTTGTGCCTCTGAGATGCACAGCTGTGTCCATATTTAGCAGCACAATTGTACTTCCACTCAAATATGCTCAAGCCACACTCTACCTATTGCGTGAAATAGCATGGTTCAATGTCTTGGCATTAGACCTTGGCTTTATTTAATTGTGTTGCTGGATTTAGAGTTGAACAGGTATATCTAACTCCCTGCAAAGATTTTCCAGCTGTTGAAGTCCCAGTAACACTAATGCTGTTGATAGGGCTCTTTAGTTGGCTTATTATCTAAAAATCATTACGGTTTGCTGCCCATGGAGTCAGTGCCCAGGTATTCTCGCTTTCCTGCAGGTGCTCTATTAGTTGTCTCATGAATTTAAATGACATTTAAGATACAGAAGTTTGGAATCCAAAGAAGCAATTAGTAAATTTCTGATTCATGTTTTGCCAGATGGTTAGATTAAATCTGATCCATTTTATTTTGAGCAGATAAGAATTCTGATGGAAGAAGAAGTAGAAACCATCAATGCATGCAAAATAACCAAAAAGATTAAAGGAATAATTAACTTTTATTGATTAAAATGTTAACGGCAGATAGTGAACACCTCTCTGAGTCCTGTTCCATGCTGGTGGAGAAAAGCAAAGTGAAACGCAATCAAACGTTATTCAGTAGAGCCAGACACCCATTCTAGCATTTGCTCTTTGCTATGATATGCAAGGTAGATTTTAGTACATACCTGATGTTCCAAATAATGCGAAGCAAAGCAGGCATTTCATATTGCATTAGTAGATATAATAGCCAAGGTTATTTCAGTTTGTGTGTGAATGGGTGGGTTTTTGTTTATCTCAACCTGGCATTCAAACATTGAAATAGTATTCCTCGCTGCATGGCATCCCAGTTTCCCATGAACATCTTTCTGTCCGTATATTCCTTAGAACTGGTTGAAATTCTTTAGAAAGTTTTCAAAACTCGTGGAAGAGGTGATCTCTATTATTAGACCAGCTAGATATTTGCAAACAAATTATTTTATTTGCAAGCTGCAAATAAATCAAATTATTTTATTTATTTGCAGCTTGCAAATAAATAATTTGCTTGCAAACATCTAATTGGTGTAATAAAAGAGATCACCTCTTCCACGAGTTTTGATTCCTTTTGCCTCTAGACCAATATGGCTACAACCTGGATACCTCTTGAAGTTTTCCAAACTTTTCCAAAAGAACACTATTTAAAAAAAAAAAAATCATAAAACCATCACATTTTCCCCACAAACTGGAAAAATTTAAATTAAAAATGATAGGTTGGTTTTTTTTTTTTTTTTGGCTTAGATTTTAAATTCTGCACTCCGTGATTTCTTTCCCCTATGAAAACTTGA